TCCCCTGTCTACCTCACCATTCCAATCAATCCCCTGTCTACCTCACCATTCCTACCAATTTCCCTGTCTACCTCACCATTCCAATCAATCCCCTGTCTACCTCACCATTCCAATCAATCCCATGTCTACCTCACCATTCCAATCAATCCCCTGTCTACCTCACCATTCCAATCAATCCCCTGTCTACCTCACCATTCCAATCAATCCCCTGTCTACCTCACCATTCCAATAAATCCCCTGTCTACCTCACCATTCCAATAAATCCCCTGTCTACCTCACCATTCCAATCAATCCCCTGTCTACCTCACCATTCCAATCAACCCCCTGTCTACCTCACCATTCCAATCAATCCCCTGTCTACCTCACCATTCCAATCAATCCCCTGTCTACCTCACCATTCCAATCAATCCCATGTCTACCTCACCATTCCAATCAATCCGATGTCTACCTCACCATTCCAATCAATCCCCTGTCTACCTCACCATTCCAATCAATCCCCTGTCTTCCTCACCATTCCTTCCAATCCGCTGTCTAACTTACCATTCCTACCAATTTCCCTGTCTACCTCACCATTCCAATCAATCCCCTGTCTACCTCACCATTCCAATCAATCCGCTGTCTACCTCACCATTCCAATAAATCCCCTGTCTACCTCACCATTCCAATAAATCCCCTGTCTACCTCACCATTCCTTCCAATCCGCTGTCTAACTTACCATTCCTACCAATTTCCCTGTCTACCTCACATGGAGGCATTGTAACTTCCTATCTCAACAATGCAATCAAACGTCACCTTCCAGTAGGAGATTCTTAAGTGTGGAGGGATGATCACGACCTTCTACAGCACAACTCAAAACTTTAAGGCAGGTCGTATGTTGTACACGTCTGTGTATGTTGTACACGTCTGTTCTGCAGGTTTAAATGTCGGACTTTGCGTCACTCGGGACGTAGTAATATTGTTATATGTTTACTGACAGAGTGAGTCTCACAGGAAGACACACAGATGATTAAGCAATATTATATTGTATATTATAGAAGATGATATTATCTATTATAAAAGATTATATTTTATATTATAAAGATGATGTGTATATTATAAAATATTATATTGTTTATTATAAAAAACTATATTGTATATTAAAGATTATATTGTATATTATAAAATATCATGTTGTATTTTATAAAATATTATATTGTATATTATAAAAATTATATTGTATATTAAAGATTATATTGTATGTTATAAAAGATTATATTGTATATTATAAAAGATTATATTGTATATTATAGAAAGTCCCAATTCCAGTTATAAATAAACTATTATAACAAAACCGATGAAAAACAAATATCTTAAATCATCGATAAATAAAGATACCTTTTAAAGATAAACATGACCACAAAAAAAAAACCCAGAGATGTGTCTGTAGTCTGAAGTCTGTAGTCTCAAGTCTGTAGCCTGAAGTCTGTAGCCTGAAGTCTGTAGTCTCAAGTCTGTAGCCTGAAGTCTGTAGCCTGAAGTCTGTAGCCTGAAGTCTGTAGCCTGAAGTCTGTAGTCTCAAGTCTGTAGTCTCAAGTCTGTAGTCTCAAGTCTGTAGTCTCAAGTCTGTAGCCTGAAGTCTGTAGTCTCAAGTCTGTAGTCTCAAGTCTGTAGTCTCAAGTTTGTAGTCTGTTTTATTAAATTTGCAACAGCTGTTAAGTTGTACGGCCAGTATGAAGGGTACTATAGCAAAGACTGCCTTAATGCCGTGTGGATAGGCCAATATGAAGGATACTATAGCAAAGACTGCCTTCATGTCATGTGGATAGGCCAATATGAAGGATACTATAGCAAAGACTGCGTTCATGCCATGTGGAATAGCCAATATGAGTATACTATAGCAAAGACTGCCTTCATGTCGTGTGGATAGGCCAATATGAAGGATACTATAGCAAAGACTGCCTTCATGTCGTGTGGATAGGCCAATATGAAGGATACTATAGCAAAGACTGCCTTCATGTCGTGTGGATAGGCCAATATGAAGGATACTATAGCAAAGACTGCGTTCATGCCATGTGGAATAGCCAATATGAAGGATACTATAGCAAAGACTGCCTTCATGCCGTGTGGATAGGCCAATATGAAGGATACTATAGCAAAGACTGCGTTCATGCCATGTGGAATAGCCAATATGAAGGATACTATAGCAAAGACTGCCTTCATGCCGTGTGGATAGGCCAATATGAAGGATACTATAGCAAAGACTGCCTTCATGTCGTGTGGATAGGCCAACATGAAGGTTATTATAGCGACGTCTGCGTTCAAGTCTTTGTGAATAGGCCAATATGACCGTCTGTATATTGTATTTATTTTCAGCATACTTTATGTTCCCATTATTATGTCCTACAATTAACATAAAGTACCAATATGTCAATATGTCAATATGTCAATATGTCAAGATGTCAATATGTCAAGATGTCAAGCTGTCAATATGTCAAGATGTCAAGCTGTCAGATGTCAATATGTCAAGCTGTCAAGCTGTCAGATGTCAAGATGTTCACCTATTCCAGTAGTGTAAATATACGCCATCTGACCAAACAGTTCAAGGCAAGAGCAACAACTCTGACTTCAAATAGGCTTTTAGCTTGGGGCAACAACCGCTCTATTGAGGGCGATGTTTGTTATTTCCCCCTGTGTACAGCCAGATCTGTTCAATTATTTCTTGCTTGTTTTATCCCCCACTACGGGGGGCGCAGGTAAGCGCATTCGCCACCCACGCCCACTGTTATCTTCCTCCTAGACTCGCCTCTAGACTCCGATTTTTTCTTCTTTTTTATTCCATCCATGTATAACGGGAGGAATACGGAAGGAAACATACGGTCTCGCTTCTGATGGGTCGGGCTGGAAAACAGATGAACGAAAACTAAGGACAGTAAATAGCAACTATTGCTGTAATATGTGCAACATTGTTATGCTTATAGTGTATACTTAAGTTGATTTAAAGGAAGACCGTACATACATTTACAAGTCCTTGAAAACTTTATTTGAAGATTACGGATTGAAACATTACCACAGCTGGAAGGATGGTGGCCGATCCTGCATTGGGTTGGTTCAAAGCATTTCTGTAACGTGATAATAGACCAGATCAGACAACCTTATGTTCCCGATGGCCTGCTGTCTGTTTAGACAACGAGAGTCGTCAGCGCCGGGTGGGGGAGGGGGTTAAAGCTACAAGACATTGCAACAGTCAAAGTGAAGGAATGATGGGATAGGTACAACACATCACTCCCCAACACTCCCTCCTTCTATCTAACAAAAGTAAAAGATGGCTGCTCTCTCTCAACAAGACCATGAGACTCTCATATACCGTTCATATAAAGATCCCATCCCTCAAAGATGCCATCACTCAAAGATCCCATCCCTCAAAGTTCCCATCCCTCAAAGATCCCATCCCTCAAAGATCCCATCCCTCAAAGATCCTATCCCTCAAAGATCCTATCCCTCAAAGATCCCATCCCTCAAAGATCCCATCCCTCAAAGATCCCATCCCTCAAACATCACATCCCTCAAAGATCACATCCCTCAAACATCACATCCCTCGAAGATCCCATCCCTGAAAGATCCCATCCCTGAAAGATCCCATCCCTCAAAGATCCCATCCCTCAAAGATCCCATCCCTCAAAGATCCCATCCCTCAAAGATCCCATCCCTCAAAGATCCCATCCCTCAAAGATCCCATCCCTCAAAGATCCCATCCCTCAAAGATCCCATCCCTCAAAGTTCCCATCCCTCAAAGTTCCCATCCCTCAAACATCACATCTCTCAAACATCACATCCCTCAAACATCACATCCCTCAAACATCACATCCCTCAAACATCACATCCCTCAAACATCACATTGTTGCACCTGACATCCATTTCCAACTTTATTCACCAACAACTTCTACTGGCACACCTGAAGTAAAAGCAACTGTGACGTCACGTCCGCAATCAATTTTCCTCAATTACTTCCCTTAATCTCCTCGTTCCAACCATGTAGGCTTTGTCCTGATCTCACCAAATCCCTCATACGGAATTGAACTCTCCCTACTGGCCTAGCATCAGACCTTTTACCCTCCAACCAACTCCCTACTCAACTGACCTATCCAGTCTCACCTAAAATAACCATTCTCACCTGAACTGAGTCCTTCGACTCACCTGACTCTCCATTCTCCATGACCTGGCCGCTCTTCCTGTCAACCTGCCCACATTCTAAACTCATTTGACCTCTCCATCCCTTCACATTACTTCCTTTTCACTCACCTGACCTCTGGCAATGCACTGCGTAACCTGTCCCAACTCTCATGACCTGCCCACGCATATCCTAACCCACCAGCATATCCTCAGACATAAGCCCGTCTGCTATTCGTGATGGAAGAAGGCTGTCTGCCATACGTGATTGTAGAACGGGCTGTGACATTACCCTGGTGCTGAGTTATTGGGACCAGATTATTGGAACGGAATGTGAAAATCTGGCCAGATCTGCGATACCAGACACTAAACAGGTTTGGATGTGGGGGAGGGGGGACGTGACGCAAGTTGATGCCTGCAGCTGAACGGGTTCCTCAACCCTATTTATTTGTTTACTTGAAGAGGGGGCAAGAAGAGGGGGCAAGAGGAGGGGACACGAAGAGGGGGCAAGAGCTTGTGCCAGTGATATCGGAGGCTAAAGGATAGGTTACCTATACCGTTTGATGAGTTGTGATATGGCCATTATCTAAAACTTGTGGAAATTTTAAGATCGAATATGACTATTTCTTTGAGTGTTTCATAAAGTAGACAAAATTTTACGATAAAACATTCAGATAACAAAGAAATAGATGCTAATGGTAAAATTGGAATCAAGGGGAGATAGGCCGTGATGCTTGAACTGAAGTCATCATAAATCCCACAAAATGGTTGCCATAACAATAAGAACCTCTTACTTTAAGAATTAATTCATCAAAATCTCTTTGGTTTGTGTTTTTAATATGTATTGTCTTGTTAAAACTTTTTACACATTTGATATCATTAATGATGTTACTATAATAAAAATGGAAAATTCATGTTTTTTTGTTTTTTTTAAAAGGAACAAAATCTAATTTGTAAGCAGTAAATTTCAATTCAGATGGCGTTTCGCGCCAAACCGTCGGCGTCACAGAATGCTTCCTGGTGAGGTCTCCAATGCCTTTTGTAGGTTTCCCTGCCATCAGCACACGACACGAGCGCTCTGTCAGACGTGGCGCCGTCCCAGAACCACCTCTCTGTGCCCAGGCTTCGTATCTCTAACAATCTGAGGCTGTTGTCCATCCAGGGGTCAGTTGAGAGCAAGGACAGTGGGCTGTAACAAGGGCAGGGCTCGATGTCACCTGAGTTGAAATGGACGAAATGTTAATGTTGGGCGCGAGGTGGGTCGAAAAGACAATTCGACAACAAAAAGGCAATAACAGTGTTAATAAATCAGTTCAAAGTGGCTAGTGGAGATCACGTGATTGATTCAGTGTGGAGGGCTCGGTGACAAACCTCCTGACTCCAGCCAGAACATTCGACACCACCACTTCGTCTACAAATACCTGGTGTTACCTGACACACCACTGCGTCTACAAATACCTTGTGTTGCCTGACACCACCACTGCGTCTACAAATACCTTGTGCTACCTGACACCACCACTACCTGCTGTTACCTTGAAAAATGTAAACAGCTATTGCACATCTGGTCCTAGTAAAGAAAGTCTCTGCGCCCAAATCTTGAACATACAAAATTAAATTTAAAAAAATAGTTTGATCCCATTACATTACATCAGCGATTTTCTGACAAACAACATACTACCTGGTCGGTTCTTGCCAATGGAGAAAAAACATTTTAACAGTTTCTTTTAAAATAATATATATATATATAATATATTATTTTTTGTAATTTTAACAGTTTCAGTAAAATTGCTTAAATTTAGCAACCGAGTCAGTTATATAATCAACACTTAACAACCGGTTGTGGCGATCCAGACAGGACAAACAATTTAGTCAAACCATTCACTAATAATTTAGTCAAACCATTCACGAAAAATTTAGTCAAACCATTCACGAACAATTTAGTAAAACCATTCACGAACAATTTAGTCAAACCATTCACGAACAATTTAGTCAAACCATTCACGAACAATTTAGTCAAACCATTCACGAACAATTTAGTCAAACCATTCACGAACAATTTAGTCAAACCATTCACAAACAATTTAGTCAAACCATTCACGAACAATTTAGTCAAACCATTCACAAACAATTTAGTCAAACCATTCACAAACAATTTAGTCAAACTTTTCAGTGACTAACTTAATGCACGTCTTTGAAACGTTTCCTTTCATTGTTTAACTCACAGACGGCTGTAAACATGAAAGCCGTCCAGCAGGTGTCGCCACAGTCTACGTGAACTTGGAACTCTTCATAAAATGTGCATCTATCGATTACATCGTACTCATACTTGAAAGTCAATTGAAAGAAGTGATATGATTAGTGCCATTAGCATGGTCTCTATCATAAACGCCCACCCAGACATTTTGTAACAAAATATGGATGACATTCGTCCTTCGCATGAGAAGATTCCTGGCCAGATTGTGCTCCAACAGTGAGTGTTCCTGGCCAGATTGTACTTCAAAAGTCAGTGCTCCTGCCCAGATTGTACTCAACAAAGAGTATTCCTGGCCAGATTATGCTCAAACATTGAGTGTTCCTGGCCAGATTGTGTTCAAACATTGAGTGTTCCTGGCCAGATTGTGTTCAAACATTGAGTGTTCCTGGAAAGATTGTACTCTAAAAGTGAGTGTTCCTGGCCAGATTGTATTCCAAAAGTGAGTGTTCCTGGCCAGATTGTGCTCAAACATTGAGTGTTCCTGGCCAGATTGTACTCCAAAAGTGAGTGTTCCTGTTCAGATTGTACTCCATCAGTAAGTGTTCCTGGCCAGGTTGTGTGATCTATAGAAAGTGTTCCCGACCTGATTGTGCGATCTATAGCACGTGTTCCTGGCCAGATTTTGCTCCAACTGTGAGTGTTCCTGTCCAGCTAGTGTGGTCTATAGTAAGTGTTTCACATGAATTCAGGTCGATGTTCCTCGCTTTGAGGAACACTTTTAAACATTCCTTGTTGTGGACCCATCTTCCAAACCAAGTGCACCCATGTTTTATTATGATAGATTTGACATACTTACAGGTTCAAAATCTTACCTTTGCGGATAGAGTTGTACAGACAGACAGGTAGACTTCTTGACGTGACCAGTGTTGTGTCCATACAGTTGGCCAGTTGACGAATTTTGGCTTCAGCCTCCAATGCTTGTACACCATCACGCAGACCAAAGTTCTATACAACATGAGTTGTCAATAGGACAATATGATCACGCAGACCAAAGTTCTATACAACATGAGTTGTCAAAGGACAATATGATCACGCAGACCAAAGTTCTATACAACATGAGTTGTCAATTGGACAATATGATCACGCAGACAAAAGTTCTATACAACATGAGCTGTCAATAGGACAGTATCATCACGCAGACCAAAGTTCTATACAACATGAGTTGTCAATAGGACAGTATGATCACGCAGACCAAAGTTCTATACAACATGAGTTGTCAATAGGACAATATGATCACGCAGACCAAAGTTCTATACAACATGAGTTGTCAATAGGACAATATGATCACGCAGACCAAAGTTCTATACAACATGAGCTGTCTGAAGCTTTTATGTGTTACATTAATATTAACACACTGACCAATGTGATCACACTGACCAACATAATCACACTGACCAATGTGATCACACTGACCAACATAATCACACTGACCAATATAATATCACTGAGTAATATGATTACACTGACCAATATGATCACACTCATTAATATGATTACACTGACCAATATGATCACACTGATTAATATGATCACACTGACCAATGTGATCACACTGACCAACATAATCACACTGACCAATGTGATCACACTGACCAACATAATCACACTGACCAATATAATATCACTGAGTAATATGATTACACTGACCAATATGATCACACTCATTAATATGATTACACTGACCAATATGATCACACTGATTAATATGATCACACTGATTAATATGATCACACTGACTAATATGATTACACTAACTAATATGATTTCACTGACCAATATGATCACACTGACCAATATGATCACACTGACCAATATGATTACACTGACCAATATGATTACACTGATTAATATGATTACACTGACCAATATGATCACACTGATTAATATGATTACACTGACCAATATGATTACACTGACTAATATGATCACAATGACCAATATGATCACACTGACCAATATAATCACACTGACCAATATGATCACACTGACCAATATGATCACACTTACCAATATGATCCCACTGAACAATATGATCACACTGACCAATATGATCACACTGACCAATATGATCACACTGATTAATATGATCACACTGACCAATATGATCACACTGACTTATATGATCACACTGACCAATATGATCCCACTGACCAATATGATCACACTGACCAATATGATCACAATGACCAATATGATTACACTGAGTAATATGATTACACTGACCAATATGATCACACTGACTTATATGATTACACTGACCAATATGATCACACTGATTAATATGATAACACTGACCAATATGATGACACTGATTAGTTATGATTACACTAAGTAATATGATCCCACTGAACAATATGATCACACTGACATATATGATCACACTGACCAACATGATCACACTGACCAATATGATCACACTGAGTAATATGATCACACTGACCAATATAATCACAATGACCAATATGATCACACTCATTTATATGATAACACTGACCAATATGATCACACTGTGTAATATGATCACACTGACCAATATGTTGACACTGACTAATATGATCACAATGACTAATGTGATCACACTGACTAATATGATCACACTGACTAATATGATCACACTGACTAATACGATGACATTGAGTAATTTGATCAAACTGATTATTAACTGATTTCATACATGGAGATGAGTGATATTTAATGTCATTTTGAAAAAGTCAGAAACTTTGACCATCCTGGCAATATCAATTAGCCATCAACGAAAATAACAATGAGTTAATTTTTTTAAATGTTAAAGTTTCCCTATTCAATCGCACCAAAGAGTTGATTGGGCGCCAGGTCAAAGGTCAAAGGTCTATTGGACGCCAGGTCAAAGGTCTCACCTGTAAAGTTACAGCGTCCGTCCTGATCAGTTTCCGGCCGTCTATTCCCATCTGAGCCAGGAGCCCTGCCGTCTGTGGCAAACATTGCCTCATGGCCCAACCTGTCACCTGATACAGGAAGTTAGCGGTTTCATTGGACAAATTTATAAATACATTTTACTTCCAGTGTGTCCTGCTTCCTTTTCACAACCGCCCCCCCCCTCCCACTCGACATGTTTTATTTTAATAGTACTGAGCAAAAAGTGAAGAGAACAAAAAAGTTGTCACCAGCGAGAGCGTCATGCGTGACGGCCGAACTCAGGTGAAATAGGTTTGTTTAGGAGGAGGCGACTATTACATGAATCAATCAATAGCCACTGATATGGTGTAAGACTGTCTTTACATCTAGTGTTTACATGCTGACATATGTGTTATGAACTATTTTTTGTAACCCTTTGACCCACCGGGTATTTCTTCAAAATACCCTGGACCCGGTGTAAAAACACTGCACCAGGTTAAGTCCTAGAATAGCTTATTGAAATAATCCATGCACATAGAGAGAGGCAGTCATTCACCATAAAGTAGACAGTCATTCACCATAAAGTAGGCAGTCATTCACCATAAAGTAGGCAGTCACTCACCACAAAGTAGACAGTCATTCACCATAAAGTAGGCAGTCATTCACCATAAAGTAGGCAGTCACTCACCACAAAGTAGACAGTCATTCACCATAAAGTAGGCAGTCATTCACCATAAAGTAGGCAGTCATTCACCATAAAGTAGGCAGTCATTCACCATAAAGTAGGCAGTCACTCATCACAAAGTACGAGTTTAAAAAATTAATTTATGACTCCGACTCCGGATAAAAGAATCTCACGACTAATTGCCCTCAAAATTATTTTCCCAATGTGCGGATCAAAGACTATTATGAAATACGTCATAATTTATAGTTAGAGACATTTGATCAAACATTTCTCTGAGAAATTTTTATGGCTATACATTTGATATAAGCGCCAACCGTATTACATTCACTGGGGTCCATTCACGTGAAGTATTTGTTGTATCCATTCTGTATGGACACACAATGTTTCTACATCAGAAAGTATATCAAGGTCTTAAGTATCAGCCTCATTAAGAAAAGTCTTCATTTTATTTGCTGCTGAAGATCAACGTTTAAATGAATGTTATAAATATTCATAAATCTATCCACCAGGGGGGGGGGGAGCCCTAACCCCATCCTGCCCCCTTTCCCAATCCGGCCCCTTCACTAAATAATCACGTGACCTGGGCGTTGTCCCACGGTGTAGCTGGACTGATGCCGTAAAAGGACTCCTTCCTTCTTGGCTTGTCCGGGAGGACATTGAAGAATATTGGCGGGAAATCGCTGGTCCTGTTGATCACTGACACAGAGGCGAGGCGTATCTTCAGCGAGGTAGACGACTCGTGCTTCAGATCTATGGCCGACCTGTGCTGCGCCACAGCGAGCATTGAAGATTTTTTATTCATTTTTTATAAATGTTCGCTGGCAGATTATCTGATGTTAACAAGCTTGTAACCTGATCATCTGTAAGCTGGTAATCGTGTAAGCTGGTAATCATATAAGCTGGTAATGGTATAAGCTGGTAATGGTGTAAGCTGGTAATCGTATAAGCTGGTAATCGTGTACGATGGTAATCTGTACGCTAGTAATCGTGCAAGCTGGTAATTGTGCAAGCTGGTAATCGTGCAGGCTGGTAATCGTATACGCCTGTAAGCTTGTAAGCAATGAAAGCTGACGAGTGCTTGACTTTATATAATTACACTAAGCTTTAAGAGAAAAAAAACAAAAACATTTGGGGGGGGTGGTGAAAGAAACTTTGGCTCGGTTAAACAGAGTTCGCTTAAAAGAAATGTAAATGGATCCCTGACTATGACCTAATGTTGTGTTCTAAATCTGAACAGACGTGTTGGTACAGCAGAAAGTCAAGGACCGCAGCATCAATTGGAAGCGATGACGTCAACGGCACACAGCATCAGCTGGAAAGTATGATAATGGTGGACTTTTGTATACACCCAAACCAATGTTTGGAATAGTTCAATGCCTCAAGTACATGCTTTGTTTTCATGTCTCATGTGTTGTGTGATGATGTTCCGGCACAGTACGCACCACGAAGCACCACTCAGCACCACTTAGAACTAACGCGAAGACAAATATGGAGATGAAAACTCGCATTAAAGGTAACTGGTTCTTGGGTGCGTAATTTAAATGCGGAAATCTATTTATAGAACAGATGCCCGGATGTGTGTTGAAATACATTCTCTCAAGCGGCAAAGCACCAGGTGATAACTCAACCCCGTCTGAAGTATACAAAGAAAGGGGCGTGGGGGGGGGCTGTCTAAAAAGGATTCAGCAGCTGTTCATACTTATGTGGCAGCAAGAGATCATTCCATAGAAATGTCCAGGCTTTCTGGTCTTGCCATAGAAATGTCCAGGTTTTCTGGTCATGCCATAGAAATGTCCAGGCTTTCTGGTCTTGCCATAGAATTGTCCAGGCTTTCTGGTCTTGCCATAGAAATGTCCAGGCTTTCTGGTCTTGCCATAGAAATTTCCAGGCTTTCTGGTCTTGCCATGGAAATGTCCAGGCTTTCTGGTCTTGCCAAAGAAATGCCCAGGCTTTCTGGTCTTGCCATAGCATTTTACAGGCTTTCTGGTCTTGCCATAGAAATGTCCAGGCTTTCTGGTCTTGCCATAGAAATTTCCAGGCTTTCTGGTCTTCCCATAGAAATTTCCAGGCTTTCTGGTCTTGCCATGGAAATGTCCAGGCTTTATGGTCTTGCCATAGAAATGTCCAGGCTTTCTGGTCTTGCCATAGAATTGTCCAGGCTTTATGGTCTTGCCATAGAAATGTCCAGGCTTTCTGGTCTTGCCATAGAAATGTACAGGCTTTCTGGACTTGCCATAGAAATGTCCAGGCTTTCTAGTCTTGCCATAGAAATGCCCAGGCTTTCTAGTCTTGCCATAGAAATTTCCAGGCTTTCTGGTCTTGCCATAGAAATGTACAGGCTTTCTGGTCTTGCCATATCATTGTCCAGGCTTTCTGGTCTTGCCATAGAAATGTCCAGGCTTTCTGGTCTTGCCATAGAAATGTCCAGGCTTTCTGGTCTTGCCATAGAAATGCCCAGGCTTTCTGGTCTTGCCACTTTGTCAATTAAAAGGAATACGATGAATAATGTTGATGTTATTTTTGAAGTGATGAACTGGGTTGAATATGTGAAGAGCAGGACAGTCACTTTTCTAACATAATATAAAGTTCAACTTCTGTGTGTTTTCTAAACGCTGTTTTCTTCGTATAACTTTATATTTTGAAAATAAAACATTAACAAAAAACATTAACATTGAATAAAATATTAACATAAAAGCTATTCTATTTGTTCAAGCTAGGAAACCCTGGGTGCAGGTCCAGAAAAAAAAAGGGGGGGGGGGTGTTTCAGATGGATCGACAAAATGAATTAACCGCACCGGGCGACACCTCTGTGTATGCCATCTATTAGTCTCTGTGTATGCCATCTATTAGCCTCTGTGTATGCCATCTATTAGCCTCTGTGTGTTAGCCTCTGTGTATGCCATCTGTTAGCCTCTGTGTATGCCATCTGTTAGCCTCTGTGTATGCCATCTATTAGCCTCTATGTATGCCATCTGTTAGCCTCTGTGTATGCCATCTGTTAGCCTCTGTGTATGCCATCTATTAGCCTCTGTGTATGCCATCTGTTAGCCTCTGTGTATGCCATCTACTAGCCTCTGTGTATGCCATCTATTAGCCTCTCTGTATGCCATATATTAGCCTCTGTGTATGCCATCTGTTAGCCTCTGTAAGTGCCATCTGTTAACCTCTGTGTATGCCATCTATCAGCCTCTGTGTATGCCATCTATCAGCCTCTGTGTATGCCATCTGTTAGCCTCTGTAAGTGCCATCTGTTGGCCTCTGTGTATGCCATCTGTTAGCCTCTGTAAGTGCCATCTGTTAGCCTCTGTGTATGCCATCTATTAGAGTCTCGGTATGCCATCTATAAGTGTTGCTTTAGTTTGCCAAAAAAGTGAATGAAAATAAATTACCATAATTTAAAAGAAGGAAGGTTTAGTAAATCAGCCCCTTACTTCTATTGAGCTGCATTTATTTACACATTTTAAAAGCAGTGGGGATCATATCAATTTGCCAGGCGTCACTCAGGTGAGATTGATGCACTGGGTGACTTAGTCCTTCACCCTCGTAACTCATGCAGCGCTCCATCGGTGTGGCGCCTGGTTAACTTCAATAATGGGGACAGCTTTTGAGACTCAACCGGCACTCCAGCTGGATGACTTCAGCGGTGTGCTGGGCCACTCGGGTTCGTATCAACAAGCTGACAAGCCACGGGGAGGAGAGAAGTAGGGCAGAATTAAATTTGGAACCAACATCTCCCGACATGACCGAAGTAATAATGGGGGAACGTGGGGTGGGGGTGATTTTAATTTTGTCAGCATGCCAAAATTATTCTTTAATTAAAGTTATAAATAATACTCAACTGTTTACGTCAAATGTCTAGTTTAACTGTCTTGTTTAACTGGCTACGTTAACTCTCAACAGTAAGTTAAAGAGTGGTGATAATTTGTGTATTATGAGTTATTATCTTGGGGAAATAGTATGCTGTCAGTGGCTGTCAAGTTTAAAAGTGCATCAATTTGAAAAAAATAAATAAATCAGGTTGTCTCCCTTGTATTGTAAAGGGACCCCAGCCCATGCTGTTACTACCCCTTCGAGTCCGCTACTGCGCCGACCTTGACCCTGCTTATTGACTTCACTTTAAACTTCTTGATCTTCTCATCTTCTGGACCCAACATTTTGTGTGTGTGTGTGTATGGAATGTTTTGTTTGAGCCATCAGCTCCATGGCTCTTCACTCTGTGATGTCTTCTGGCCAAGTTTCACAAACCACAAGTGGCTGTTTGGTAAACACCCCGACCCCCCCCCCCCCCCCACCCCAGTCATTGTATCACTGAAAGAGTAATGGAGTAGGAAGAAGGTCTGGTCAGTTACCGTGACACTGAAAGAGTGATGGAGTAGGAAGAAGGTCTGGTCAGTTACCGTGACACTGAAAGAGTGATGGAGTAGGAAGAACGTCTGGTCAGTTACCGTGACACTGAAAGAGTGATGGATTAGGATGAAGGTCTGGTCAGTTACTGTGACACTGAAAGAGTAATGGAGTAGGAAGGTCTGGTCAGTTACCGTGACACTGAAAGACTAATGGAGTAGGAAGAAGGTCTGGTCAGTTACTGTATCACTGAAAGAGTAATGGAGAAGGAAGAAGGTCTAGTCAGTCACTGTAACACTGAAAGAATAATGGAGAAGGAAGGTCTGGCCAGTCATTATAACACTGAAAGAGTAATGGAGTAGGAAGAAGTTTTAGTCAGTCATTGTAACACTGAAAGAGTAATGGAGTAGGAAGGAGGAAGAACACAAGTTCCTCGAAAGGACCGTTCCAAAAGTCCATCGCGTATTCCAGATTAAAGGGTTTTCATTTTATTATTGACGGGACTGGATGGGAAGCTATAGGCAGCTGAATCAGACCTGGACACTTTAAATCAACTTGATCCACTAAACATGGGCACACAATGGACGGGGCCGGATGGGAAGCTAGTGGCAGCTGAATCAGACCTGGACACTTTAAACCAACTTGATCCACTAAACATGGGCACACAATGGACGGGACTGGATGGGAAGTTAGTGGCAGCTGAATCAGACCTGGACACTTTAAACCAACTTGATCCACTAAACATGGGCACACAATGGACGGGACTGGATGGGAAGTTAGTGGCAGCTGAATCAGACCTGGACACTTTAAATCAACTTGATTCACTAAACATGGGCACACAATTGACGGGACTGGATGGGAAGCTAGTGGCAGCTGAATCAGACCTGGACACTTAAAACCAACTTGATCCACTAAACATGGGCACACAATGGACGGGACTGGATGGGAAGTTAGTGGCAGCTGAATCAGACCTGGACACTTTAAATCAACTTGATCCACTAAATATGGGCACACAAAGGACGGGACTGGATGGGAAGCTAGTGGCAGCTAAATCAGACCTGGACACTTAAAATCAACTTGATTCACTGAACATGGGCACACAATGGACGGGACTGGATGGGAAGCTAGTGGCAGCTGAATCAGACCTGGACACTTAAAATCAACTTGATCCACTAAACATGAGGACACAATGGGATTGGGGATGTTGCTGAAATGATCAGTTCTACATTGTCTCAAGTATTGAGTAGAGTAGTTTGAGATTTTTTCAACCAATTACAAGTTGGCTGAATAGCGACGAGACTTGAGTAGATTTACTTGGAATATTTTCTTTTAACTGAAGCTCAGTCGAAGTGCTTTTATGACACAAAGTGGTTTGTTAAAACAAAATGTTTTATTAACACAAAGGGTTTTACTGACATAATGTGTTAATGACAAAAAGTGTTCTATTGAAATAAAATTGTTTTTTTTTTTTGGACACAAAGTGTTTTATTTAAACAAAGTGTTTATTGACACAAAGTGTTTGTCTCGTATTAACCTAGTTGATATCATTTCAACAGGATGATGGCATTTATAACACAAATTTATAACACAAACAACTCATAAATTGAAGTGGTTTTCATCCTTTATTAAACTTTTTTCAACTTAACTATTGATTATCTCTATTATTATTATTATTATTATTATTATTACTATTATTATTATCATTATTATTATTGGTAATGCTATTATTATTCTTGTTTTATTAGTATTGCTATTATTATTATATTTAAATTAAAACTACTATTATTACTTTAACTATTATTGTTATTACTATTAATATTATAATTGTCGCTGGTATTATTTCAGATGTGTTAAATAATTTATAATACCCCACGTCATTTCTTTTAAAGACAATCCTCCAAAAGTATTTGAACACCGTTTTCATGACTTCACTTCAAAATCGTGCGAAGGTTGCACATTTATATCAACAAAAATATTTGGAAACATCAATACGTATAAAAATACACTTCCCTTCCACCTTCAAGACAAGATTTCTTTCTTTTTTTTTTTAAAGTTACGTCTACATATTTTTCAACTTTTAATATCCGAGCCATTTTTCCCCCTTCAA